CGAAGAACGACGATGCGAGCACGACCAGCAAAAACAATACAATTCGCAAGGGCGAGACATTAAAACAAAAGTCTCGGCAACTAGCAATGCGACGGCGGCGATCAAGGCAAGCGTAACCTCACTAACCGCTGAAGGTCGCGCAAACAAGCGTTCGGCCGACAAAAACACTTGATATCACCACGAACCACGACTTTGGAGGACAAATGGGGGTTCCTGTGATGCGGGCTCAGCACGTGACCATGCGAGCCACTGTGGGGGGACGCGTGGCTTGCGAGCAAGTGAGCTGCAAAGAAAAACATGCATGCGGGCCACTAGTTTTGATAGGTCCGCGCGTTACAGGTGAAATGCCAAGAAGGCACTTGACGTTGGTTCCCGTGTTGTCCGTTTGAAGTGGTGACGCCTTGTCGGGTGTCTCCAGACATCCTGGGGTCCTCAGGATTAGTGTTGGGGCCCTCTTGAGAGAATCTGGGGGCCTCCTGCTCGTGGGATGAACGCTGGTTCCCGTGTTGTCCGTTTGGCGGCGTCTCCAACCATCTTGGGGCCCTCTAGGGCAGTCTCGGGGCCCTGTTGGGGACGGCTGGGGGTTTCCCGGAGGCCTGTTCCAAGCTCGTTGGGGCCTCTTGAAAGCCTCTCGGGGGTCTCTTGGGGGCCGGTTGGGGTCTCCTGGGTCTCTTTTGGGCCGGACGACCCAAAATGTACGTCCCTGCCGCCTCACTGAAGTTTTTTTTGGCATTCCTGAAACATTCGGAGGCCGTCTTGGTGGCCTCTTGGGCCGTCTCGAGAGCGCGGTGGACTGGTCTGGGCGCTCTCTCGGGGGCCTCTCAGGCGGTCTTGGGGCGGTCTTTGGGACCTCTTGCGCCGCCCCGGAGCGTCGGGGAGCCGAAGGCGCCGATACCCGAAAGACATTTTGAAAACCAGCGAAAAACAACAACAATTGACACGTGGGGTTTTCTGGGGGGGCCTCCCGGAGGCCTCCCGAGGCGTCCTAGGAGCGCCGAGGGCCGTCTGGACGCGATGTTAGGGGGCCTCGTGGGGGCCTTGCGGGGCATCTGGGGATCTTTTTGTGCGGTGAGCTTGACATGTAGGTTCCTGCCTTTCTTCTAAAAGTTTTCTGGGGGCGCCCCTGGAGCCTTCGGAGGCCGTCTTGGAGGCGTCTGGGGCCGTCTTGAGAGCGTGTTGGACTGTTTGGGCGCTCTCTTGGACGCCTCTAGGGCCGTCTTAGGGGCGGCCACTGGGTCCTTCAAGGCTATTTTGGAGCGTCGGCGACCCGAACGCGTGGAAATCCGAGAAACTCCCAAAAACCTAACGAAAAGCAAATACATTTTGACACTTGGGGCTCTGTTGGAGGGCCTCTCGGAGGCCCCCCGAGGCGTCCTGGGAGCTCCCTGGGCCGTCTGGGCGCGATGTTTGGGGCCTGCTGGAGGCCGCGTGGGGCCTCCGTTTTTTTTTGGGAGCGGTGAGCTTGAAATGCTGGTTGCTGCTTTTACTTTGGAGGTATTTTGGGGCCGTTCCTCAAGCCTTCGGAGGCCGTCACGAGGAGCTTTCGGGCCGTCATGAGGGCGTCTTAGACTGTCTGGGCGCCTTCTCGGGGGCCTCTGAAGTCGTCTTTGGGCGGTTATCGGGCCCTCTTGGGCTGTCTTGGTGCGTCGGCGAGCCGAAGACGCGACAACCGGAAAAACAAGCAAAAACCAAAGAAAACTCATACATTTTGACACTGGGGGCTCTCCGGGGGGGCCTCTCGGAAACCCCCCGAAGCGTCCTGGAAGTTCCCCGGGCCAGCCGGGCGCGGTCTTGGACGGCCTGGATCGACCTGATGGCGACTCGCGGCCCTCTCGGAACGCATTGCCGACCATCTTGGGGCCGCCCGTGCCGCGCGGAAGCGTGTCTGCCGAAATGGGGCCGTCTTCCGCCGTCTTCCGCCCGCTTCCGCCGACGTTCCCCCCGCGGCCGGGAGGGGGTCCCGGGGGGTCCCCCCCGGACCCCCCCAGGGGGGCAATAAACGGAAAACCCGCCTCGAGGTCGGGGAAAAAAGGGTCAGAACTGCAGCGGTGCCACTTTCGGAACAAAAATCAAACGTTTGACCCTTCCAATATTCTTCGCCTGGTTTTTTTCACAGAGCTCCCACAGACGGCCGACGTGGCTAAAAATAACCACGCGCGAAGGTCGAAAGCACGATGCGATCGCCCAAGGGCTCCAATAGTGCCCCGACTTGTTTGAAAACAACACTGGCGCCCGCAAACATGATGAACACGGTCGACGCAGGGGCCCCCTTGGACCCCGTCAGACTGCCAAGACAGAAGAGATGGCAATGGCGTTCGCGCCCTCGCCTTTGCAGGGTGCAGAACTCTCAGCGCACCCCGAGGGGCAGCGAGAGTCACCGCAGGATGGCCTGGATGACCCCAGAGGAGGTAGACGCGGCCTACAACCGCCACCTCCCCCTCGTGATCCTCCACCTCCCCCTCGTTCCCTCCCCCATCATGCCCCTCCCCCACCTCCTCTTATTCCCCGTTCCCCCTCTCATCCTCCCTCCCCCCTCTCATCCTTCCTCCCCTCGTCGTCCTTGCGTTCTCCCATGCCCGCCTGTTCAATCCCCGTCGTTATCATCTACTCCCTTTCCCCCATTCCTCCGGCTTGCCCCCCGCGCCCCCCTCCGCCCTGCCCCCGCCCCGATCCGCGCGCGGGCACAGGGACGCGAGGGTTGGGGGCAAGTACAATGTTCAGATACGTCACGGGGCACGACCTGCGCGCGGGCACAGATATCGCGACGGTTGGGAATAATATTTAACAATGCTAAGATGTTAAAATTCGCCGAGCGGCGCGATCCGTGACCGGGCACAGGGATCGCAAAGGCCGGGGGTAGGATTGGACGATGTGAAAATCCGTCGACGGCACGATTTGCGAGCAGGCACAAAGATCGCGAGGGTTGGGTGTCTTCCAGGCGCCTGCGACACGGCCGTGGGGCTCACGCCGCGGGCGCCCACGTGCCGTAGCGGAAACGCGCCATGCAACGTTGCGCAATGCAGCGGCTCACGTCACGGCGCACTGCGGAGCGCCGCTTTTTGCGCGCATGATATGTGAGATTTTTGCGACACGCGCATTGAATGTGTGGTTGGGCCTTGGGGGGCAAGATCTGATGCGTGCGTTATGACAACGCTGGAACAGCTTAATTGATGGCAATAAAAACACTCGCGCGATTCATGGGCGGCGGTTGGCCCCATTGTCCAAGTCGGGACGGGCGCGCGATAACGCCATCCTTCGGCTCCACCAAAACAACTTTCAACAAAATGCAAAAATATGTTGTCGGAGCTCGGTTCTGTTTCCTGGTGGGCGCAAGACCTGACAAACCGAAACGTCGCCCGGCGATCCCGCAACAATGCAGACACCGACCTGCCATAGGCAAGCTCGTGCAGCAGATCGTGGACCGTGAGAAAGCGAGTGCGCTGCAAGCAGCCATCATCCCGCCGGGCACAGAAGGGCCCGCGGTGTCGCGCACAGAGCGCGGGCGGAAGACGTGCAGACACCGACCTGCCATAGGCAAGCTCGTGCAGCAGATCGTGGACCGTGAGAGAAAGAGTGCGCTGCAAGCAAACATCATCCCGCCAGGCCCCGAAGGGCCCACGGTGTCGCGCACAGAGCGCGGGCGGAAGACGAGAGGCAGACCCAGACATGCGACGTCCTGATTTTTTCAGGACGGCGTCCCTGGAAGTCCCGACCCTTTCCCCGGGACTGGTTTTTCGTCCTGAGTCGTTGTTTGACGGTCCCGAGGCCCAGCGAGGGCCCCCCAGGGCCGACCATAGACCAAAACCTCCCGTCCTGACTTTTTTGAAAGACGCGATCGTGTCTGGGGGCAGAGCAGGAAGCGAGGGGGTTCCAGCGCGGTTACCAAACCTGCCTGCCCCCACTGATGGAAGCATCCAGGGGCAGCTCGCGGGGGGACCAGTTGCGGCCACAGGCGGTCAGGACGAACATCCAACAGCACATGGAAGGGAGAGGATGATGATGATGATGATGATGATGATGATGATGATGATGATGATGATGATGAGGAGGAGGAGGAGGAGGAGGAGGAGGAGGAGGAGGAGGAGGAGGAGGAAGAGGAGGAGGAGGAGGAGGAGGAGGAGCAGAAGGAGGAGAGGAGAGGAGCGAGGAAAAGGAGGAGGAGGAAAAGGATGGGGAGAAGTGGGAGCCGGACTACACTTGATACGACAAAGTCCAGGGTTCGCATCGTGTCGAAGCGTGCACGCCTGCCCAAGAGATCACGGACAACTCAGTAGTGGAAGCGACAGGCGCGCCGACGCACGACACAGTGAGGACAATGAGCCTGGGGGGAAAACAAAATTACGCGGAGGCGCATGCGGCTACTGCCTAGCCTGACGGGATTTCCTGAAAACTCCTTTGAGGAGGGCTGTGCGCGAGCGTGGCCAGAGATCGTATCGCGGACGAAACTGCGGAACGCGTAGGCCACATCTGTGGAGCGAAGGCCGCGTCGGCCTGCGCTGTGCGTTTAACAAAGAACAAGATCACCAATGGCCAAAAGCGCTGCATCAGTGGCCCTGGCGCTGTATTGTCATGACCAACTGTGCAGAAGCAGAAATGGGATCTACCCTACCTCGAACAACTTCCAATCCAAACTGCCCTTTCCCGGAATATTTCTCCGGTCACCCAATTATAGATCCACCTTACAACTCCACATCGAAAACTGCCTCCCCGTCTCACCCGCATGCACTCGAAACTCAGTTCAAGAAAACCTCTTCTCAGAAATGAGGGGCCAGCTCTCCAAACGACCTTCGGGAAACTGGAACAGGCTTGCGAGGTTCGAGATGTTTCGTGGAGGAGCTATGAGGCTCAAACCAAAACAATCAGGCTTATCAACAAGCTGGGCGATCGTACTTATTCTAGTTTCTCGCCTGCCATGATGTTCATACGCCGCCGTCGACAAGCCCGAGCCTGCGAGCATTCACTGCGCACGCCAACGTCCCTGCACACCCTGGCAGCCAAGCCTGCTTCAGCGCGGGGGCGTCGTTCACGCCGTCTCCGGTCATGGCTGCGATCTCCCCCAGCTGCTTCAGGATCTTCACAATCATCTGCAGAGCACGCGGCGAATAGAGGTTGGAGCTGGTCGCCACCCAGACTGCTTCGAGAAAGAGGAGGAGAGCGCTCCTCGCTCCTCCTCCTCCCCCTCCTCCTTCTCCTCCTCCTCCTGCTCCTCCTCCTCCTCATCTTCCTCCTTCTCGTCCCTCCATTCCGAAATGCCGGGAGTTTGATTCATGACATCCATGCTGCCTTGCGTTTACTTGCACAGCGAAACGAAGCGAAGGCGCCGAGTGGGGACAACAGGTGCCCGTGCCCATGTAGGCAGGGCGCAGGAGGCCGTGGCCTCAGATCATGCGCGAAGAGAAGTCGTGGTTTGAATACTTCAGGAACCAATGCACCAAGCAGGCAAAGAACAATCTGTGTACGAGCCGGAAGAAGAGATGCGCACACACACACACACACACCAGAAGAAGTGGAAGAAATGGAGTGCGTTTACCTGAACACTTTATTTCCAAGTAAGAAAAATTGATTCACCGGACACACCGGAAGAAGTGGAAGAAGTGGAGTGCGTTTACTTGAACACTTCATTTCCAAGTGAGAAAATTGATTCACCCGTCTCCTTCCCCACTGCATCGCGCCTTCCTTTGGCCCCTGCCCTGGCTCTCCGGGTGCGTTCAGGCTTGTTCCGAGATCCGCAGGGCCCCTTTCTGAAATACGAGAAGGATCATCTCCGCAGCGTCGCCGCTGTTCCGCAGCAGTCGTCAGACGTGTACTATAGAGGCTTGCTTCGTCATGTTGCCAATGTGCCTATGACGTGCAGGGCTTCATATATTTCGTTATGTGTTTACTCTCTTTCGATATTGTTCCTCTCCATACCTCTCTCTCTCTGTCCTTCTATCTGTCTGTCTCTCCGTCTGTCTGTCCGTCTGACTGTCTGTCTGTCTCTCCGTCCGTCTGTCTGTCTGTCTGTCTGTCTGTCTGTCTCTGTCTGTCTGTCTGTCTGTCTGTCTGTCTGTCTGTCTGTCTATCTGTCTGTCTGTCTGTCTGTCTGTCTGTCTGTCTGTCTGTCTGTCTGTCTGTCTGTCTGTCTGTCTGTCTGTCTGTCTGTCTCTCCAGCTGTCTCTCCGTCTGTCTGTCTGTCTCTCCGTCTGTCTCTCCGTCTGTCTGTCTGTCTGTCTGTCTGTCTGTCTGTCTGTCTGTCTGTCTGTCTGTCTGTCTGTCTGTCAGCCAATCTCTCTTTCTCTCTGTTTCTCTCTCTCTCTCTCTCTGTTTCTCTCTCTCTCCCTCTCTCGCGGCTCTCTCTCTCTCTCTCTCTCTCTCTGAGAAAGCCGCGTTAGTGCCGAGCGATGGCCGAGGAGCGTGAGCAAGGTGACGGGATCGCGCCCTCCGCTGCGGGCCCGCGCGTGGCGCCTCGTGGAGCGCCCCTCCGGGCCCCCGCTGGCATGCTCGCAGGATGCCCCGAGACTGCTTGGCCCCTACCTCGGCTCGGAGACCCGCTCGGCCCCCCAAAAGAAACAGCACGCGCGTGCGCGCGCTGCCGCTTCGGCGGCGGCCTGCCGCCGGCGTGCGCAGCGCACTCGGCGCCGGGAGCAGACGTGGGCCCTCGCCATCGCTCGGACGTCCATGTCCTGCTTTTGTTTGGGGGGGTAGTGCGTGGTTTTTCGCCAAATGATCCAGGATGCTCCTCGACTGTCCTCGCGCCGCAGGAAACATGCACACGTCCGAGCGATGCCAAGGGCCCGGCAGGAGCGAGAGAGAGAGGGGGGGAAGGCGTGAACGACGGGGCTGTGGCCCATGACCCTGCCACCCACGCCTTTTCTCTTCTCTGCCGCTCCTGCCCCATATGAGGGGGCCCCAGGACACACAAATAAATACACACAAATAAAAAGAATTTTCCCATATTTTCTGGGTTTCTGTCTTCCCCCCCACTTTCCATATTTTCCCATATTTTTGGGGGAATCGAGGATTAATTGTGTCTGTGTGTTTCTTTTCCTCCTGCCCCATACTGGTGGGACATAGCTAGGCATGGGCTCTGCCCAGGAAGTTCTGGGCTCTGCCCCATCACTCGTGGGGCAGATCGTGCAACCATTCCGAGACCGCAGGCCGGCGGAGAGAAGCAGGGGCACTCCTGCGCAGCCGCTGGAACACGCGCACCTATGGCGTAGCCGTGGCGACGACGGTTCACATCGACAGAGGGACATGTTCGGGCAGACTGCACCCCAGAATTGAACAGATGTTTCGTTCTGGGTGTGGAAATGAGGTGAGCGAGCTAAGCTTTCTGCAACGGCTAGTCGGATCAAACCGTCGATCGAACCCTCAAATCAACTTACTGGCTCGCCCGTGTGGCAAAGTGGCCCACCCGTGTGGTACAGTGGCACGTGTACACCAGAGACCCGAAGGAAGAAGGTGAAGACGAGTGCCTTGCAGATTGGGGTCTAAGAAGAGCGCTGCCCAAACTGCACACATCATCTGAGCATGCTGCTTCAAAACACGGAGCACGATTGGGCTACGAATGCATGGGCGGCCGCTAGGGACGATGCGCGCAACCTGGGAACACTCTCGGCCAGGCGCGGATGCTTAAGCGCATCCCGGGGCGCGAAAAACTCAAAGAGCCAACGAAGTCATCGGAGAACATCATCAGTCTGCGGTGCCCTAATTACCTGGCGGGCGCAGCGCGCCAGGGGGGGGACCCGCGCGGACCTCCGCAAACTAACGTTGCCGGTCGGGAGTGTTTGACTAGCGTGCCGCTGCAGCGGCCCCGTCGACGCGCTGGGCCTTGCAGCGGGATGGCGTGCCGCTCTGCTCCGCGGGGCGGGGAAGTGGGCAAGGCTCTGGACGCTGACGTCTGGGGACCGGGGCGTGATCAGCGTGTCGCGCCGAGGCGTGGTGGGCCCGAACCGGCGGCACGACACGCCAAGCAGAAGTTCCCGACCGCATGCCGCTTTTGGACAAAACAGCTGCGTAAACAGAAACTTTTGCACTCGGCGCGGTTTTCTTGGCTCTGCTCTGGAGCCCCCTCCCTGGCGCGCGGAGCGCGCCAGGGGCGGCGACGGAGGCGCAGCCAGGGGCGCCCAGCCCCGGCCCCCCGGGGCTGGCGAGGGCACCTGGAGGCCGAAAATCGCCAAAAGCCTCCAGTGGTGACTTGTGCACATAAGTGCGTTCCACTGTTCGCAAAAGTGACTTCTCGCGAATGTGGCCAGGATTCGCCGCGGGGGGGTTACGGTCCACTACGCCGAGGCAAACACGCGTTTTGTCTGGACGTTTGCGAGCGGGCACTTTGCGAGTTCTCAGTGGAACGCGCTCGGTGAGTTAGGGCGCAATCATGTCCCCAGACGTACGACGGCCTGATTTTTCAAGGACGGCGTCCCCGGAAGTCCCGACCCTTTCCCCGGGTCCGCTTTTTCGTCCTGACTCGCTTTGTTGACAGTCCCGAGGCCCGGCGAGGGCCCCCCGGGGCCGGAAATAGCCGAAAACCTCCCGTCCGGATTTTTTTTCAACGACGCGGTCATGTCTGGGTCTGGGCTTCCCATCATCGGGAGCGGCCAGGAGGGGGGTGTCCAAGAGGGGGGGGTGCAAATCATGGCCGGCGGCATGTGCGCGGCCCAGCTGGGGGGACGAGCGAGCGCGCGATGTCGGTCCAGCGGGACCGGCCCTACGAGGGCAGCGCGGGGGGGCCAGGGCCCTCAAGAGGCCATGGAAACCAGAAGAGGCGCCATGAAATCTGGGGAAATATCATGGCCCCCGCCATGATATCCCCCCCCCCCTAGTCATCAGCCCCCTCTTTTCCGCCCCCGACAGCAGGCGACCCCCCCCCCACTGCCGGCGGAGCGCCTGCTTGTGCCGGGGCTCGGTGCGCGAGAAGACCGCGCCCTCCGCCCCCTGGCCGCGGGGCCGCGCGAGGCTCCACGCCGCGGGGCACCATTTCCGCCGCCCCTGGCGCCGACCCCAGCCGGGAGGAGGAGGCCCAGCCCCCCTCGCGGTGTGAAAAAATCCCGACGTGGGGGGGGGTACGCTATGCTCGCCGTCGCCCTCCGCGGGGCCCTTGCCAGGCCTCGGGGCCGTCAGAGAACGGCTCGGGACGAGAAATCGGTCCTGGGAAAGGGGGTCCAGAGACCTCTGGGGGTCGACGTGGTGGGTCTGGGGGGGGAGGAGCTCTGTGGCGCTGCGCTGGCTTTTGCCCTGCAGGGGCGCAGCGTCTGTACTCAGCGGGTGGAGAACGGCACAATAACAGAAACGTTTCCATCACTGGGGGCGCCTGTCCCAGGGCGGCTGGAAAGGGTCAACCCTGACGTGCCACCGTACGGTATAAACTTTCGAGCCGGCCTGGGACAGACGTCCCCGACAGCGGAGAAGTTTGTCATAACGTTTTGTTTCGCCCGTTCATGTACGGAGGAGGCGGGTCCTCCTCCTCCTCCTCCTCCTTCTCCTCCTCCTCCTCCTCCTCCTCCTCCTCGTCCTTCTCCTCCTCCTCCCCCGCCTCCCTCCTCCTCCTCCTCCTCCTCCTCCTCCTCCTCCTCCTGCTGCTGCTGCTGCTGCTGCTGCTGCTGATGCTCCTCCTCCTCCTCCTCCTCCTCCTCCCTCCTCCTCCTCCTCCTTCTCCTCCTACTCCTGCTCCTCGACCTTTTCCTCCTCGTCCTTTTCCCCCGGCCGCGGGTGCAACCGGGCGCTTCGCGCACGGGGGTGACGAAGCGTCCGCGCACCCTGGCCACCCCGGCAAAACGCTGGAGCAGCCGCCGGGGTGCGCCGAGGGACTTCGCCTCCCAAAGTGGCCTCGGAAGAAGCCTAGACGCAACCGCGGAGGTGCCCTGCAGGGGCTCTACGCAAATCCTCCCCTCCTCGTCCTCCTGCTGCTGCTGCTGCTGCTGCTCTTCCTCCCGACGCTGACGCTGACGGCTCCGGGGCTCGGTGCGAACGTCCCCCCCCCCAGCGACCTCCGCCGCTGGGCGGGGGAGAAAAGAAGCGATGTAGCTGTAGTTGGTGCCTGCTCCTCCTCTTCCTCCTCCTCCTTTTCCTCCTCCATTTCCTCCTTCTCCTCCTCCTCCTCCTCTTCCTCGTCTTCCTCCTCTTCCTCCTTCTCCTCCTCCTCTCCTCCAACTCCTCCTCCTTCTCCTCCTCCTCCTCCTCCTCCACCTCTTCCTCCTCCTCCTCCCCCTCCCCCTCCTCCTCCCCCTCCTCCTCCTCTTCCTCCTCCTCTTGTTTTCAAACGTCAGACCTTGCGGGCGCCGCGGAAAATGAAAGAAGTAACTATGGGCCGACAGGAATAGAAAAACTCGACGCCCGCCAGGTCCTCGAGGTCGGCACTAACCTCAGTAAGTGCCCCCCCCCCAACAGGAGTAAATAAGACCTACCCCCAATTGATCCACTGGTAGTGCCTCTTCGGATGGAAAGAAGCAGCACAAAAAAAAAAACGCACAGAGTGACGCGGTGTGGGCGATCGTCTCGATAGCTTTGCCAAGCAAAGTGCTGCTGCTATAATTAGCAGCATGTACCCCTTGATGGTAAGACACACCCCTCCACCCTATTATGCAATCCAGCTCCATCCCTTCGTTTGATTGGTACACGCTGCGGGCCGAGCGCGCTGCTGCAAGGGAAAGTGCTGCTGAACGTGTGCATCCTGACGTACGCGTGGGCAGGTTGCTCACGTGTAGGTCTAGTGACGCAAAGTGGCCAAAAGAAGTCCTCGATCTATGGGCAGGGTGTTTTGGGTTGACCCTCAACCTTAAGAGGGAGGGAGGTGTACCACAAGCACGACGATGCACAAGTAACATAAATGAGGAGAATGGCCAAGGAGAGAGTAACACGGTTTTATGGTTGACTCCGGACTGTAGCAATTCAGAGCGGTGAGGCAACGATGTGTGGCGAGCTGTGGGCGGGGGTTTCAGGTTGACCGCAAACCTTGAATCCGAGAGAGACGTACCACACGCATGTCGGGAAACGGGAGGGTAGAGGCAGCATCAGTAACGAACCGTAGCTGACTAGAGCGGTGAGGCAGCTCTGTGTGCTGGCCAAAAAAAGAGAGCCCAAGCTGGTTGACCACGAATCTTGTATGTGATCGCTCTCCTCCACCTCCTCATGATCTTCCCTAGAAGCAAATGTTGAGGAGGTCATGGGTGGGGGGCGTCTAATGATTGCCAAAGGTAGGCTACTTGCGTAAACATTAAGGGGTACATCCCTGTTGGCGACCCAAGTGCCCGATGGGCGCACCGTATGGAGGGTAGCCTGCACCAGGTGTCCTCAAAAAGCGAGGGTGTGCTGCTAGACCCGAGAAGTGTGCGGCTGTAAAGGGGGGAGGCACCTTCGGTGTCCCTCAAGCCTCACTGAACTTGCATGGCCACGCAGGTTTTTTGTGAAGATAACCCTGGGGTGTGGCCTGAGTAATGGAGGGGAGATGCCACCAGGCTGTCAAGCCGAAGCGAAGTGCATTGCGCACCAGTGATGAGGCTGGCCAAATAAATGTGACCATGGCTGGTCGGCAAGTAAGAGCAAGTGCCTATTATGTGCTGCTGTGGCCACACAGGGTTTTAAAGATGGCCCTGGAGTGTATCCTGTATTGGAGGGGGGGTGCCACCGAATTGTTAATCCGCGGCGGCCAACTGGAAGTGGATTGCGCATCAACGGAGGGGAGGGCCACGGAAGAGGTCGATGCGCGCGTGGTCTAATAGGATGCCCTGAAGGATGCCCTGTAGGATGCGATTGGCCGCAATAAACTTGAGTAACATGTGGTAGACAGATAGATCCACATGGCTCCGCAGTGCAGTTATTGGGTTGCTGCCCAGGGTTTTTGATGGCCAACCCCGAACCACGCTGCCCCCCCCCCCCCCACACCTCAAGAACGTGAACACGTTCCAGCATAGTTAGGTACTCAAGGTTTCAAGTAGTACCCTGGTAGACCGCAGGCAATGGAGGGGATAATAGCGTGCCTGGCTGCACTGTGCCCGCTGGGTTCAGTAGAGGTCCTTCTGCGGCACCTGAAGGCGGAGAGGTACTGGATGTGGATGTCGTGGTAATCTGCCAGCGCTGGCTATGTGGACTGATCAATTTCGGTAAACGTCGGCATGGGCTTGGGTGTGGCCTTGTGTAATGTTACCAATTGTTTGGGAGGAGGCTCCCTGAATGGTGCTCCAGGTGGGTAGTCGTGGAGGCTGTTGGTGTAAGTCTCGTAGCGTAACTGCTGTGTGCGGAGCCTGGCGATGTAGTTCTGGAATGTGGGGTCGCCGATGACGCTGATGAAGATGATTCGTCGGTTAAAGATGCGAACGTGCTGCTCTCCCCGTCGTGCTGCCTCATTGCGTGTCGCGATTGCCTGTGCCGCAGCAGTCGGGAGGTAGGTGTGCAGAGTGGCGAGTGTGTGTGTGTGTGGGCATATCCCGCATGGGTAACTCTTTAATCCACTGTTGTGATATGATGTCCTCGCCTGGTGGGCAGGTAATGTGCATGTGTAGTACGCATGATGGTGGGTGGGCTGGAATGACTTGTTTGGATGGTGGCAATTTTACGATGGTTGTCCCCTGGAGCGTGGCTTTGGTTGGCTTGATGGGTGTGGTCAACCATCTCCTCCATCTCCTCCATCTCCTCCTCATTCTCCTCCACCTCCTCCTCCTTTTCCTCCTCCTCTTCCTCCTCCTCCTCCTGCCCCCACTCCTACTCCTCCTCCTCCTCCTCCTCCTCCTCCTTCTCCTCCCCCATCTCCTCCTGTCTCCTCCTCCTCCTCCTTCTCCTCCTCCTGCTCCTCCTCCTCCTTTCTCCGCCCCTCCTCCTCCTCCTCCTCCTCCTCCTCCTCCTCCTTTCTCCGCCCCTCCTCCTGTTCTCCTCCTCCTCCTCCTCCTCCTCCTCGGACAAAAATCGTCGTGGGATCTCTGTCGTTGGTCGGGCAGTGCCACGGGGAGTCACCTCCTCGAGGAAGCGCCACTCCCCCAAAGAGAGATTGTGCCCCCAGAACACTCCAGAGCCCCCCCGCAGCTATCCCAAACGACCAAAAAACTGCTCGCGCTTCAATCCTGGAACCTCGATCATCAGGAGCAACCGGTGACCCCACAGGAGATGATCCACCATGGCGCTGCCCGACGTTTGGCGGCTGATCTGCAAACGTGCGCTCGTCGGGAGGGCGCCAGCCGAATTGCATAACGACTGCCAAGAAGGCGCGTTCACGCGCTCACACCCTGCTGGATCGGGCCTGCCATGTGCCGATTTGGTCGGCTGCGCGTGCGCACCACTGTACATCTGGACCGTGGCATCCAACTAATCTGCCATGCGAAAGCCTTTCCGAATCAACATGCGCACGTAAAATACAATTCGCATGCACCTTCAGGCAGCCGTACGCTTGAGAGCACGCACGCCGCCACGTGCAACACGTTTACAACTGCGCGCGCGGATCAGTTATGCATCCGCACATGTGCACGCTTGAGCATACACATGTACACAGACACGTAGCTCAAGTTTACGTTCGCGCAGTGCGCCTACGCCTGCGCACTTGTGGGATATATGGGGCACCCGACTTTCTGTACTCTTGCACGCACGCAGTGGGCACTTTGGCATGGAGCGTGGCACCAATACACCTACGCATGTGATCTGCGTATAAAAACCAACGAACGCAACATCGATGCCGATGCACATGTGAGGCACATCACACGACCAAGCACGCATTCCCCCCACACACATGTACAACTGCACATGTAACCGCCATCATGGCCCAACGTGGAGGCGTGGTAGAGTGCCAAATGCTGTCTGGTAGGGCTTGCTGAATGAATTAGGGGGACGTCCTACCTTCCTGTCACACCCAGCTGCGAGCATCGCCTTCTGGGCACCCAGACGCCTCCCTGGGGCTCTCCAAGGCGTCCAAGATGCTCAAGATGGCTTCCAAGAAGGCCCAGACAGGCTACCAAAGCCGCCAACAGGGCCCCAGATGGTCCCCAACAAATACCCCAAGAAGCACCCAACAGATCCAACAGCTCCAACGAATACCCCAAGAAGCACCCACGGTGTGGCAAGAGGCTTCGACGATGCCAAAGGGGCACCAAGAGGCCCTCCGAGGAGCCCCAAATCACTGCAAAATCAAGGGACTCCAAAATCAGCCACCGATGATCCGAAACATGTTCACAAAGGCTCCAAGAGAGCCCCAAGACATATACCGTGTGATCCAAGACTGCATGAAGAAGGCCCCGAGACGGCCCAAGGTAGCTGCAGGAATGGGCCAAGACGGCTCTACAGAGCTTCACTATGGGCCACGAAAGCCCAAGACGAGTCCAAGACGGCCCCCAGAAACTCCCGAGACACACACACACACACACTCCAAGAGAGCTCCATGACAGCCCAAGAATGCGCCTAAAACTGTCAAAAGAGTCCGAAGAGGCCCACCGCGGTCCAAACACTGAGGGCTCCAATCAAGATGCCACGATACGCAGGGAGATATAGCGAAGGAGGGGTAGGAGCAAAGAAGAGGGAGGGAAGAATTCGACGACGAAAGCAAACAGAGACATCCTGACACGACACGGAAGAGCGAATCACACGAGCGATGAGAGGAAACTAGTCATACGCGAGATGGCATAGCGACCCTACGCGGTGGCCTACGCGGGCCGTCAACGGGGCACGCCACAGTGGAAGCGATGGCGCTCACGCGCGACCTTACGCGGGCAGCTTGCGAGCCACTATCGGCGAAGATGGCCCCACGTCTTCGCGTCGCTCCTGCTCACTGCGGCTCTCCCAAGCCTCGGGGCACGAGGTCTCAGACTGACTACCTACCAGACCACCCCAACCCAACCCGAAGACCCGACTTTGACCCGAATGTCGGGTTGGGGGGGGTACGGATTCTATGTGTTCTCAACGTTCCCCGACCCTCCCCCCCACTGGAAATCGAGGATAAATTGAGGCCTTCGGGTTGGGTTGGGGTGGTTTGGTGGGTGGTCTCAGACGCCACGGCCTCCCGTGCTCCCCTCGAACGGTCGCCGCCCAAGGTGCCAGGCTGGCACGGCGGCGGGACCTGCCGGGCAGGCAGCGGGAGGACTTCTCGCGAGCACGTGCACGCGCATTACTCGCCCACGGACCCGTCGTGCAGACAAGAACGCAGCATGTGTCACGGAAGACGGCGCGGAGTGCTCTGCAAGCAGCGCTGTCAAGGCAAGGCGCGCGCTCGGCCGAGCGCGGACGGGTTGGAGGGGGGCGTCCTTCTTGGCCACTATCTTACTCAGCAGGGTCTCCTGCCAATCATCTACGCCGCAGGGCAGACGCAGACAACCAATCGGCTGAAGCAAGCACATGCTTGAATTGCGTGCCCCAACACTGTGTGATGTATATGCCCACGGGGAACAACGGCTAGCGACACAAGTACAGCAACATCTCCGAAGGCCTCCTGCTCCTCGAGATGGCTCATTCTCGTCCGACTCAATCCCTTTCATGTCCTGCTTTCCCTCAAGTTGCACCGCCTCCTCCTCCTCCATTCCTTTTCCTTGTGCATGAACTCTGAGGCTTAGTTTTTAAGGCGGGCCAGGCGTTTCGCCTGAGACTTCCTCACCACTTATAACTCCAAAGTTAAATAATTGGCAACAGCTTCACATATGGAGGGCGGATCGTTTTCAAAATGTGGCTCTCGCCTTAGCGCCGCGCACATTCGTTCTAAACATGTGCAAGGGTTTCACGCATTGACGATAACCTGTTTTCAAAATGCGGCTCTCGCTTGAGATTTGCAAGAATTCCACGGGTTCCCGCGATCAACGTACCAGAAATGACGTTTTGGAAGGATCCAGGATTTTGTGGGTGCCACAGTTACGTTGATTGAGGGTGATGAAATCCCAAGAATGGCATCCTGGCGCGATCCAGGATCGTCAAGACGCAACAATCAGGCTGATCCGTGGCGTTGGAATCCGGAGAACAATGTTTTGGCATGCTTCTGGGTCTTCAAACGGTTCTCTTTCAACGCGGCAGACCCCTCAATAGAAATGAACCGTTGTAGGGGCCTATGAAGAGGGAGCTTGGAGGGAGGGTGTATTCCAACATCGTTGATGGCTCTTGGGTTTACACTGGTCCTCCTCCTCCTCCTCCTCCTCCTCCTCCTCCTACTCCTCCTCAAACAACGCAAACTGTTTTTCCAATCCATCGCACGCACAGACGCAAAGGGTAGGGGGAAGGTACAGCGACCAGAAAGTCAACAAAATCCGTGGATTGCCGAGGATAGCAAGGCAAGGGCGTCTGCAACGTGGGCACGGGCGCGAGGATCCTTCTCCTTGTCGGAGAGGTCCTCGAATTCCTTGCCTGTGAAGGAGGACTCCTGGGCGCCGATCGATGGTATGTCCCCGGGCTGGGCCTCATGACAGGCATGAGATGCAAATTCAACTGCCGTAATCGGATCGGTTCGGATCGGACAGGAAACAGATCGGAGGCGCGCCTGACTCGGCACGGAATCAGGTCCACATCGAACTAGGATCGCGGATCAGGCTGGCCCCTGCAAGCTAGAGAAGGATTCGATTCGTGTCGGATCGGATCGGATCGGAGTCGGAATCGACGTTCGGGATCGGACTGCATGGAGTGGGCCAGTCACCGGCCGTGCATGATGCGGCCAATGTGCAGCACGTAAACGATGGCTCGGATCAGCAAGGGGGACACGAAGGCCAGGGAGGCGGCACAAGGACAAGCGAGCGGTGATGTAAAAGACTTGGCAAGACGCGGTGCTCGACCCTACCCCCCTCTGGTGGCCCCTTCCGACACTCATAACCGTGTCCTTCCTCGCGGCGTCGCGCGCCTGCACTCCTCCCAAGACGAAGCCAGGACGAGGATCAAATCATCGGTTGGGGATAAATCGAAAACCTCTGAGATGGGGAGGCTCTGGAGGATGCATCGGGCGCCGCGGCCTTCTCAGAACGTCATGGAACACTCTGAGAGCGTTCTGGGACGCTCTGGAACGGATTCATCCTCGTCCTAGCCCCACCCGAACTCCCTTGCTTCCCCCTTGTGCATACCTCCCCGTCCCCCTCCCACAACTGATTCTTTGATTCGCACGTCCAGTGGTCGCGTTCTCCTCTCCTTCTGTGTAACCGCCCTGCTACTGAGCGTTCTCTACCCTGGCGGGTGCGTCGCAGCATCGTGCCTGCCTCTGGCACTGCCCAACCCACTCGCGGGTTAGCAGCGTGTCCGCCGGGATGCTCCTCTTCCCTGCCCAGCTCCTCCCCGCCGTCGCCCTGGAACGAACGTGTGCTCCGTGGAAGGCGCAGCCCTGAGAGGGGGCGCCCCGCCGCTCGGGCGGTGTGCGCGGTGGCCTGGCGGGCGCTGGGCAGGGACTGCGGGGTCGCAGCAGCAAAGACGGCGCTGGGCATGTCGTGGTGCGGGGGAGTTCGGGGGGGCGGCCCGCGGCGAGCGCGGGGGAGCAGCTATAAAGGGGCGGCCGTGATCCGGGAGCGCGGCGGCAACTCCAGGGGGGGGGGGGGTCCTGTGATGCGCACGTGCTCGCCTCGCGGAGCGCGGCATGCGGGGGGGGACTGTCACGGCGAGCCAAGGGGAACCATCGTGGGCAGGGCATGGGGCACGCGCGTGCACAATTCGGAGATCTGCGAGGAGGTCGCCAGCACGGCACCGTGACGAATTGATTATAAGGCGCGGCTTTCGCAGAACAAGATCTTTAGCGCAACGCGAATTCAAACCCCCAAAAACGTGCGCGACAGATTTACTATCTGACGGCTGCATTTCGATGTCCTAGAAGTTTTCGCCCGGATCTCGGTGAGCTTCGTCTGCTTGAACGCTAGGAAGATTGGACTGCTGCCTGAGCAAGGTGCTAAGCACTTGAACTAAACATACGTGCACCAAACATGGAAGCTTGAGTGCTTAAGCCTATCCTGAAGTCGCTCGCATGTCCCCGTCCTAGCCCTATGCGATCTCTACTACTTTCGCACATGCAAAGTGGATGTGCGTCGGCCGCCCCAAGAAGTGGTCCATCCAATGGTGTCGCTCCGTTCCTCGCATATAGCGTTACCGGAGCACTGGGACAAGCATAGGATACGTAAGTCCCGCCCGCGACTCAGCGGTAGAAGTACTCAGTGCCACTGGTCGCACAGGTAAAACCAGTGGTAGTGGTAGTGGTAGTGGTAGGAGTGCTAGTACTACGGCACGCAAGGGAAACAATACTGATATGCCATACTACTAGAAGAAATCGCAAAAATAATCGCAGTAGTAGTAGCAATAGAAAGGTAGTAGCAGCGGTGGGGAAATATTAGCAGTAGCAGTAGTAGTATTAGTACTAGTACTACTTGTAGCCGTAGTAGTAGTAATTACACTACTAACAGTAGTGGTAACAGTAGAATAAATAGTAGTGGCTGTAGGGGTAGTAGTAATAGGATAAGTAGTAGTAGTAGTAGTAGTAGTAGTAGTAGTAGTAGTAGTAGTAGTAGTAGTAGTAGTAGTAGTAGTAGTAGTAGTAGTAATAGTAATAGTAGCAGTAATAGTAAAAGTAGGGCTTGCAGTCGAAGGAATAGAAGTAAGGATAGCGGTCGTAGTAGTAGTCGTGGTAGTAGTAGTTACCAGAGTAGTTACCGTACTGCTAGTGGTAGTAGTAGTAGTATTACTATTATTATTACTACTACTACTACTACTACCACTACTACTACTACTACTACTACTAGTGATGGTCGCAGAGATTGCCACTGTTATCGAGGTAATAATAATAGTGCTGGTACCAGTGGTGGCAGTGGCAGAACTACTCATCTGAGTCGTGTTCGCAGTGCTGGTGGTAGTAGTAGTAGGATTAGTCGTAGTCGTAGTAGTAGTAGTAGTAGTAGTAG